CTCCTCCCTTGCCTCCTCCCCCCTTTCTTACCTATATAACCTCTTGCCACGGCAGCTCTCTCGCCTACATCAGCATTTTTAAATCCTTTATATTAAGTTCACTTGCGTGCGTGCTTGCTTGCTTAGGACCGTGCAAATCTTTCGGTCGTTTTTTATCCCACTTCCCGTGATCCAATCGAGCTGACATTTTCCACACAGACTCGTTGTGCGTGACAATTTATTTTCGTGAAATTTTTTTTCCAAAATGTTACACTTTTTAGGGAAAATTTTTTAAATATTCAATTACCAATTGCTTAATGGTGGCAGACAATCATCTGACCCATAGGTGGCAGCCATCTCAATCCAGAGGACGAGAGGACTCTAGCCGCCACGCATATAAAGGATTTAGAGTGAAAAACTTTGTTTTTACGGGTTAATTTTTCCTGCTGTGGTTCCACCTGATGAAGATTGCTTATGTTGCGATCTAAACGTCGTGATTTGTTTAATTGTATTTCTACCTACGTGACTTTACCGAAAAAACCAAAGAGTATTAATATGGAGGATGTGTTCTACGTAACTGCTTGAAGAGACCAATCCTGTATATGCTGGCTCACGTGAAGCTCAATGTACAACTGTCTTAATTCTTAACGCAAACATCCAATGCGTAAGTCCTTGCATCGTGTGAAGATCGACGCAAATAATTGCCAAATTACATAATTATACGAAAGGGAATGATTCTCCTCATAGTGTTGTTAAACATTGGATATGGCCAAAAAACAAAAACATTACTGGATTGAGTCACCACAAAAAATCCAGCATGCAGGGCAACATGGCAAACTAACCGGTTTGAAACCAAAAAATCTAATCAAATACTCAGTTATAAAGGCATCTTCTAAAAGTATGTCAGAATGCTTTTTATCGGTTGGGTGTTTTGTTAAAGGCCATGGAAACATTCGTAACCTTAGAAACTTTCACATTTATTTATAATCTCTCCCAAAAAAAGATTGCTCTTATAAAATGCTGGCTTGACACAAAGTTCATATTTATTTATTATGGGTGTCCAATTTCCTCTGAGCCTTGGACTAGCAATTTGTTACAAGTAAAATTGCTGTGAAATGTGAAAATGTTAAGGGGTGAAGGAAAATCTAGGAAAGAAAACACTCCAGCAGCCACTAAATGGCTTGGATTTATGAACACATTCATCTCGCAGGCCAAATGTGAAGTCGTAGTGATTATGATTAATGTTTGATCCACTTTACAAAAAAAAGTTAGTTAGTAAATTTGGTAAAATAATGGAAAAATTACCAATTAATTATTGCAATCAAGACCCACCAATATGTCGCATAAATAATGCTTCCTGAAAGTTATACTGGTAAAAGGATAGATAAAAACTACATTATCATAGTAGTCTCTGCAGCAATAAATCTTTATATTTTTCGAACAAATTTAATCAGACGCAAGCTCGAAGACATGTATACATTTGTCATTGTTTCGCTTAGACAATTTTAGAGCAAAGCAGTTACACACGGCTACATTGTGCTGTACAGCTCTCCTTCACCAAACCCTACTTGGTAAGCTATTCAGATAGTCAGTTCCTGCATGCTGAGCATTAATACTGCTAAAATATGTGGCTTGAATGTTGAGTAGTACCTTACAAAGCAAAATGCATTGCGATAGTCTTGCGGAAAATAGCTCTTTAAAAGCACTATCATATTTAGCAGTGGTTCCCAGTGGTCCGACTTGTGGTTCACCGTTGTGGGTTGCCTCTTAAACTTTGCAGACATGGATACATCGCAGATAGATACATAAGCAATATTTAAAAATTAATATATTGTATCTCTTACATAATATAGTGAATGCGTATGATTAAGCAAGTAACTATTGTGTATAAAATGCTATTCGACGACTCATTTCAAAACGTCCCTCAAACTTAGTGCAGCAAAGTTATTTTATGGAAAAACGTTGTTGTCACTCGCGTCTCAAATGTGTTTTTTAATCCAATACGTACAAAAATGCTCAAAACGGTGTTCTTAAGAAAAATTTGAACCACGTCATAATATTTGACACATTTCTCAGATTTGAACTATATTAACGTTAACCATGCCTACCGTATTACAAACGCTGTAATGAGCATACATGTATTAATATGTAGACAATGACGTGTATTGGCATTTTAAGAAGTATCTGGAGACTAAGAAGTGTAATATTTGCATGGTCCGTTAAGGAATCTAAACAGTTCAGCTCCACGTTATAACTTTTTTTTACAATTGTAGCTATGTAACACATTCTTGTCATTCCTTACTCTATCTTCCCTCCTACTGTTTGAGCCATGTGGACTTTGCAGTGGCAACATGTCACTTCTTTAGCTTTTTGCGCGTCAATTTATGATATCTTTATGGAAAGCACACGGGACGTATTGATTATCTTGAGATATGGGCTCCTACAATCATTTAAATGGTGGAACAATTCCAAAGTACCTTAAAATTATGAATTTCCACACCCAAACGTCTGACACTTTTGTTTTATATTTCCTAGAAAGTTGTATTACAAACTTATTCTTGACACCACAGTAAGGCAGGGCTGATAGACACGCACACAGCATTACTTACAGTCAAAGTAGACACATTTACAGCCTCAAGCTACCATCCATAACAGAAGTCACTTGCTTTCTTCAACTTGTCTCAATGTTCATATTTTGCTAAATTTGACCACATTTGAATTGCCCAAGTCACTGCTTGTCATCCATTCTGGTCATTTTCGACCATTGGACATCTTTCATCGTGATAACTTTTCTCACCAATAATTTGAGGTATATTTATTTGTCAAATTTGCCTCAACTTTGAAGTAAATATTCTGTCCCAACAGGCTTTTCAGACTTGTATGGGGCTGTACAAGGGGTTTCATGTGGATATTTATACGTGATGGTCTCATGATATAAATTATCATTATTCTCAGAGGATTACATTCATTTCAGTTAAAAGCGTGAAAGACATTCACAATGCAGGCTGGATTATGCAATACCAAGCAAGGTTAAAAATTTCGGACTATGATGGCCATATGCGCATTACATCCCAGAAAGTTTGATTTGGATATTCAAACGTAACTATAATTGGCCACCACATCCTGTGAAGATGTCTGGAAATGACCTTTATATATTTTAAATTACCTTCATAGACACACAAACTATATGTGTGTGTGTGCATACGATTGCTGCCAAAGCTACCAAGTTATGATTGTTTACCAATGATCAAATTGTGAAAACACCCATTAAATGATATTGAAAAAAAATACATGTAAAAATTATAGATTTCTTTTAGGTATATTTTTACTTTGATAAAAAAAAATCACCCCCAAGGTAATAGAGTAACTGGCCAGGTGGCTCAGCAGTCGAGCCATTGGCTTGCAATCAGAAGGGTGCGTGCTTAACTGCTGGATGGGTTTCACTCAGCCCATCATCCCTCTGGGGTCGATAAAACACTGACCACTTTGTGGGGAAATCCATAGTGGGTGTCCTATGGATAGCCTCACCTGTGTTATCAGAATACGGAAGTTCAAACACTGGCTCAGGGTTGTAAACAGAACATGAGTGTTGCAACAATACTACATTGAGCAAGAAATCACCTTGACTTTTTTTCCGTGTGAAAAATACTAGTAATGACAATTGTAGTATTCTGGTTTACAGTAATTCAACGTGATTGGGTTAATTAAAGGGTTATAGTGTCCATGAAAATGGCATTGATTCATGGCAGGCAGACCAGGATGCTCTTACCAATGCCTCAGAGAGACATTGTGTATTGTAGCCAGGCCTGGTGGCAGCTGGTGGTCACAAACACATAGGGCCCTTGTGGCTCAGGGATAGGGACACTGATTATCATGGTAATTTAAAGGGCTGCAAAAAAACAACGTAGCAGATGTTAGGTTCCCAAACAAACAAATGCAGTTCAGATATCCAGTGGTGTGCAAGTTATTTAGATAATTAAATTGTTAACAATAAACTTTTCAGCACATTTCTTCAAATTGTGTTAACTTTCTGGTCCAGAGTTGGCTGGAAATGTGAAATATTTATGGAAGCAGTGTGCAATTTTAATACACAAGAGGCCTATCAAGACCAAACCAATTTGTATTTTCCATAACTTTTAAGTAGACATATTAGACTATTTAAATGTTGGGTATATGTACCAATCTGGTGAGGATTTACATTTTCTTCAATATTAAAATGAAACATGTTTCATCCGCAAGTAAAAGGGATTAACTTTCTTCATAAGTTGACATGCTGGTGGAAAATATAGTACATTCATGTGATGCTATTTCGCAGTACAAATGACTCTCAGACCGAAATGTAAACAAAACCACGTAATAATATGCACTGTGTAGAATATAAACATTGGTGTGTGAGTTGTGTGTGTACTGAATGTTAATTGTCTCACAAACTTGTTTGGAACAATTCAGTAACAAAAACACATCACCTATTCTCTTTGATTTCCGATATAAAACAAGATTTATTATGAGGATTTCCATAATCAGGCCCAGCTTGTGTTATTACATCAAAAGTAAACCACAAAATGACCTTATTTAAAAGCATGCTTGCAAATGAAAATACCTTTATATTCAAAGAAAACAGCAGCAACGTGTATATATCTACATCACAATACATTTCTTACTTCATTATACTGGTGAAATACACGTGAAGGTAAACTTTATCCTCAAATGTATTTTCTCTGCACAATTTTATTAAAAAATATACAACATAGTCAATATGTTTTACAAATGGATTTTCCCATAAAAATATAACTCTGTAGAAAAAGACATCTTTTACATTATACAGTTCTATATAATACAGTCAAATAGGCTTCTTAAAATGACAATATATTACAAATGCAACTTACAATTATCACATTTTTATACAAAACTACATTACATGTCAATATTTTTTTCTTGTTATAAATGTCATTGATTCATATTATGATATACAGTAGGTAAATGCCTTTTTAAATTATTTGCTGCTTTATATTTTTTTATAAATATGTTCATTATTTATTTTGTATAATTTTTTGTGTCCCCTGTGCAGCGGGAGAAATATCAGCTTTGGAAAGTACATGTACAAGTGAAGCTATGATTTATGGTCAATGTAACCAAACCAGATAAAATGAAGCTTGAAAGTCAAACGTCTGAAATTTTGATATGAGGTCACTTCACATTCCACTGTGATGGTGCCACTGATGACTGGTGAGTTCTAAATGTCTTCATACCATGGTTGATGTTATTTGCTGTAATGTAAACACAACAATATCAATTACACAGCGTATGTCACCAAGACCATATGATTGATATACGTATATAACAGTGAAAATTTTATGTTTTACTTATGAATTGGTTAAAAAATACATTGTTCCTTACGTTTCTGACAAATTACATCGCCATAGTTTCGTTAAATGTGTTGGTAAAAAGTTTAAAGATCTATGCGCACCATGACCAGTGTGAATATAAAAATATGAAACGATGTTGTTTTACAATGACAGCTGCAGTCTCAACAAAGTACATGAATAGGGTACTTTGTCACGATAACACGATGTGAAAGGCATTGGTGAAACATTTAAAATAATTCCATAGAATACATATCACTCAAAGTATTCATATACAGTCAAATGGCCTTAGATACTCCTTCTATATTTCATTTAATGATCATATTTTTGTAATGAAAAACAAGTCAGGAACTACTGTTAATTGTTATTTTGAATTAATGTATTTGTTCATCTATTATCCTGAAGATTAGACGGGAAAAAAACGAAATAATCTATTGAATCTGATTGCAGTATGCCATTCATTAGATGAGGTTAATTAAACATTATACTTGAAGAGGCAAGATGACTTATTTTAAGGATAAAAATAATTCACAATATTTAGATATATATTATCTCCTCTCTTTAAGGAACAACATTCAGTATTGACGATACTGTTAGATAATATTTCAACTCCTAACTCCATGTCATATACTGTAATATCAATATTATAAAGTTTCACACAATTACGCAAGTGTAACAACATTGTGATTTCTAACATGTTTAGTCTTGTTTATGATTGATTTAAATTAGATAAACAATTTAACTGAAGAGTTAATTGAAAAAGAGTGGACGAATGCTTATTGCACAGTTTTGTGAACTGAGATACAATGATTATGTGTGAATGTAACATTTCATCCAGTTCCAGAGAATTAATTAGAGTAAGGAATAATAGAGTAGGGATGTATCAAAAGAATACTGGTGCTAATGACTCTAGCAATTATTTAGAGGTGACATGGTGTGTATCACAATAATGTAGATTATGAGACATGTGACTAGACTACATGAAAAAAAATCCTGACAGTTACTGGCAAGAATTGTATGACTGAGCTGTTATATTAAACACATTCCTGCGGAGGGAGCTGGTAGCAACGTTGGGTTGCTCGGTCAATGGCCAGGGTCAACGGCGGTGTGGTGCATTCCGCAAATATGCCCGACTGTGAGGGCGGGCACAAGCCGGCGTGAGTAGGTTAAACGTTGAGTATAGCCCCACCCTCCCCACCCAGCCCCTCCCCACCCTCCCCACCCAGCCCCTCCCCACCCTCTCCTACCCACCCTCCCCACCCAGCCCCTCCCCACCCAGCCCCTCCCCACCCTCCCCACCCAGCCCCTCCTCACCCTCCCCACCCAGCCCCTCCCCACCCTCTCCTACCCACCCTCCCCACCCACCCCCTCCCCACCCAGCCCCTCCCCACCCTCCCCACCCAGCCCCTCCCCTCTCCACCCAGCCCCTCCCTGCACGACGGACAGACAGAATAATCCCCTGTGGGCTGGTGTCACCAGGAGGTTCCTACCAGTATCATATCATGGCACACATTTGAACTTAAATATAACAGCTCAGTCATACAATTATTGCCAGTAACTGTCAGGATTCTTTTCTAGCAATGATCAAACACGATATTTACAACAAATTTAAGCCATGCTATTGGTTAATTTACAGCTGAGGTTATAAATTCGTGGGAAGTTCGTGAAATAGCAATGTCCCTTGTGAACTAAAAACGAGTAACTTGAAAGTAAGATGGAATCAGAGGGCTCAACGTTTTTGAAAATGGGCTAACCCCGCTCAAACACATTACCCTGACTACTACAGAGATTGGAATAATTAACCCTTTCCCATTCAAAATACCAGTTTTTCTTCCGATTCCGTTCCAATGACGTACATGTGCATCATCAAAACGAAACCGGAAGTAAAAAAATATATAATTTCATCAGTACCGAGGTTCCCACAAGGCCATGCAGGAGGGTGTGGCACAGTTTGGTGCCGGCTATCATAGAGTGTGGTCATGTCACTACAGTTCTCTGTGGCGAGTACAATATCTTTAAAATCAACGGCGCTATGCCTCTAGATCAAATTAACGCTGAGCCGCTTGTGTGTTCCGAGATTGATAGGTGAACGGGACCTACCCTGCAACTTGCAGAAGTCTTGGAATGGGACAGGGCTAAGAGCATCTCTGAGGGAATATAGCCCATGAAGTGAAACCGGAATGAACGCTCACCTCAGTGTTGAGTCGAGTATCAAATCGCACAGCCTTACTCTCCGCAGGTTTCATGTTAGTGTCGTACATGGGGTTTTCAAACATGGACTGCCTGTTGCTGGTTTCATGACCTGAATAACCATTGTACCGCACCTGCGGAACTGACCTGCCAGAAGATAAATACAAAAAGCGAAAAACACTCTTATACTTGGTAATACAATGGCACAGGTATTTAAGTATGTGCATCACAAACATTTCATTGTGAAACCTATACACATGTTTAGAGTTTGATCCAATTGTTGTACGTTTTCTTTTTGATATGTTGCATATATACGTTACTTGTGAAATGCTAACATTTTACTTTTAAAGTATGAAAAAAACAAAGGTTATAAAGCGGTACAAAAATCATAGTACAACCATGTACTCACAAACCATGGTAGTGTTAGTTACTTATGGCTTGAAATCTGTATATTCCTGAAAAATAGCATGTGATATGAGTTTGTGTTATTTTGTGATTTGTTTGTGCCATTTTTTACCGTAACATATTATTATCCATGTTGTGTCATCTATTTAATGATTTTGAGACGTATCCTGTAATAACATGTCACCCATATGCCCTTGGTAATAAATTTGGTCTATAAATAAAGATATTATATGCATATAAGGTAGTGCCGGGGATATTTTAGCAGCAATGCCCATTCACCAAGAATAAAGCAGAAGGCAAGGTTGCATTGCAAAGGGTAGGGGTGTAAAGGTACCACACAAAATCAAATGTCACTGCAATTACAATGTATGTCTATAATGCAGACAAAAATATCATTGTAAAACTGAATAGCAATGCACCTTTAAACTTATTTAATCTAAATCATATATTTTTTGCTAACTGTGTGCAAATGAAAACCAATTCTCACTGTATATTGATTCAGAAAACTAAAATTCAGAACAGATGAAAGATTTTTATTCCCCATTCCACAAAGCCAAGGTGGAACAACATGCACAAACGTTGTGGTTTAGTAGTTTCCGGGCCTGGGGAAAAAGCCACACGGGGGCTCCAATATTCCTTCAACAAAAGTCCTGATGCAAGCCCATCTTTTGTGTCTCCCCCTCCGGGTGGCCCTGTTGGTGCCATTTGGTTCAGGGTTTAATAGTTCATACACAAACTCAGTCCTCTGATAATGTATTTGGGAAACACTACAAAACAAGTGCACTACATGTTCATTTTCTGTGGATATTAAAGGTCCCATTGCGCTCTTTATAGATGCAAGCAATTGCATGTAATGGATAAATTTGGAAAAATGCCCTCAATTAGCACGTAACCAGATTTTCCCTCCCAGTGTGTTTGCTGGGCTCCAAGCCACTGTCGTTAGATGCTTGGGACCACCTTGGGGCAAAATCGTCACTGAGCAATGTTTAACGTGAAATAATGATATTGATGTTAATGACAAAAATTAAACATCGGCTCTATCAGACATGCCGTACAGAGTCTAGTTAAATTGTTCTATTTGCCTATGGGCAAGACCAAATCACAGTAAAGTTGTATATAAGCACACCCATTGGAGCAAATATGCCTGTATCAGAAGTTGCCCTTTGTCTTCCTTACACAAGTGTTATGGATGGATTATATACAACTCTGCTTATATGACACCTTCTGCACTCGTTATAATAGTAATACAATTTCTTTAGCGATGCAAACATCCACTTGATGTCACGTAGGTATAAAATAAAATAAATCACGACGTTTCGATCGCAACACAAGCGGTCGTCCTCAGGCGGAAAATTTTTCATCCAGCAGTGGAACTGCTGAACTAGCGAGAGAGCAGCTACAAGGCGATATATGTAGCTGCTCTCTCGCTAGTTCAGCAGTTCCACTGCTGGATGAATTTTTTTCCCCCTGAGGACAACCGCTTGTGTTGCAATCGAAACGTCGTGATTTATTTTATTTTTCTACCTACGTGACTTTACTGAAAGAACCAAAGAGTATGGATTCCTGCAGTCACGAAGGCTTCAAATCAAGATCCACTTTATGCTCTTTTTGAGAAGTATACTACTCTTCCCGTCTGGTTGAAAACAAAACACTGACGGCCGTGCAATATATATTAGAATTGACTGAACATGCACAGGCTGCTGCTTGTGTATGTAGCAGTGCTCCACCTCTGCTTGTAAAGGTAGAAGGCAAAGCCAGCGAAGATGAGGGCAAAGAAGGGCACGAGGATGGCGATGGCGACTGAGCTGCTGCTGGTGCCCAACTTCTGCCCAGAAGGCTCCAGTCCCCGACTTGTGTTTATTGTGCCTGCGACACGCAGCACAGACAAAGCCAGATCGTTCTCTCTGTTAGCTGCTGGGGTTAGGCTGCAGAGATGATTACAGTTCACAACAAATTATTACAACTGACACAAGGCTTCGTGTGGAGGAGGAGCAATACACGTATCGTGACGGGCCATTATTTTGCTACTGGTATCAGATTGTCAGTAGAACAAAATGTTGGGTTGAGATTGTCCAGTGAAACTTCATGAAACCTTCATCGGTGCACACCTTCACATTGAAACTAAACATTCTTGTACTTCGGGGTGCAGGTTAGGCTGCTAACATAAAACTACCACACACACAACCGGTTACTATGCAAGCTTTGACAAATGTGTACTATAGTTATTGTGTTCACTGAAGGTGGAACGAAATATTGAGTAATTTATTAATCTATTCTTAAGCTCATGATAAATATAAACAAACAAATTGCGTAAGAGTTTAACTCCTACTATCAATAAAACTGAATAGCATTTTCAAAGCAAAATTGTAACTTGTTTTGGCTTCTTAACATCTACTGTGCATTATAACACTGTATGAAACACATTGCTCATTATGCAATGTAGTATTTTAAAATATAATAAATGCAGCTAAAAACAAAATCAATGCAAAGGGAAAACTGTTTCATTTTTAACTCTCAGGATGAATGTTAAACTTTTAAAAACATGTGACATTTTGACAGCAATGTAATTGTTCCTTGTCACATAACCATCACATCAATTCGCAGGGCACACTAGGGGGCTAAAGTGTCCAACATTATGGCCTATCCAGGGAGATCCAATGGGGATAAAAAATGAGTTGCAATACTGGACGTCAAAAAATCATGAAGCAATTACTGCATTAAATGGACTGCGACAGCTGGGCTCTATATGTCAAGCTGAATCAACCTAAAGAGAATATATGCAAAGCTTCACATTTGCAATTGTGCACATGGTTTTTATTTATATATGGGATGTTAGCATTGTGTAATGGTTCGCACATTGGAGTTGGAATATAGAGGTCGCCAGTTCTATTTGATCTCCCAGTATGGTAGCTGAAAAAATGGTGCGAGCTTATTAAATCTCCCCAACCCCACGCCTCTATCCACCGAGTGGTATAATGCGGGAATACCAGTTAGTTGATTGACATGGCGCGCATGGTGCGGTAAAGTATGGGGACTCCCACATCTTCCTAGATGATTGTCCAGTGTGAAAGAGTAGGCCAAATACCATCCAGAGGGGGCTCTCTAGAGCTCCCTCCAGTGGAGGCCCTTCCACTAGCAGTGGCATGAGCAAGACATATCAGGGCTGCAATCCCACTTTTTACATTTGTATTTACTAACTGATGTATCTCAAATAATTACATGTGAAAAGCGATTCTTCTGTCAGTGGACTGAGAGCCATTATGTCCAGATAAGATTAATATCCCAAACCTAAAAAGTTGATTATATTAAGTCGTAACATGCTGAGGTAATCGCTTAATACATTAATTACCACAATACACAAACACTGTCGGATTATAAAAAACAATGCTTAATTAATGGATAAACAAATCAAACATACTTGGAATCGTTGTATTAGTATATGCCTGAAAATACCAATATGCTAATCGGACATTAATTGGTGTGACTTATATTTTCCAAAGTGCTCTTCTACTTTTAAATGGTGGAATACAATTAAGCAGTGCGTTTTCGCATTATATAAATTACTGATTTTTTTTAATTCTTGGAAATGTTTTTTTACAGATAAATGTATGCATCATATGACTTCCAACTCTTGCTTGATTACTAGCCATATATATGAAAACATTGCAATGCAAAGCGTACAAATAAAAAACTGACTCGTTTCATGTTGCAGGTAATACATTAATAAAGATCTACAGGTAACGCAGACCTAGTCAAATAAAATAAAAACATCTGAACTATACGCCATCCGTATTTTAACGAAAGTATATATAAAATTCACTGCAAATGTATGCTTTACGATAAATTACAAAACCGCGTTTAACATATTTGATTTCGATTACATTTTGAAATGCTTGTTTGAAATCGTAAATAAGTTTAAAACTCCATCATGGTGATTCGAAGGCTGAATAAAACTTTGTGGGAATGTCGTGCAGATGCCTGTTTGAGTCAATCAAAATACATGTCACGCACAAGTGTGAAAATAAAAAAAAACTACATTCATGTTAATCGCAATATAATGTACAGCCCTGCTCAATACAATTGTTGTATTAATGCTGTGAAGGAGAGAGTGAAGGGACAGGACTCGTTTGGAAATCACTCGCCACTGATCTTATTTGTGGCACTGAATCAAGCTCTGGTGTTGTTGGTTAAAAGCATAAATAAGTGTGCTATTCACTGCACCACCATTTCAATTGATCATCATGATTTTTTGCGTATTTGGTAAGTCAAGTTTAATATACACAAACATATTTATATAATAAGGCAAAAACGATTAGATATGGTTTTCATATGACATTCATATCTTTGGCATTGCTCATTATATTTAAATGTAGAACTGACACATTTTATGTTTAAGATTGCACCATGAATGGGTTCACATAAAAGGTTTGCCACAGGTTAATGTGTTTTTTTATGCTCTAGCTTAGATAAATAATGCAAATCTCCTTATTTATAGAGAAATGTACTCCTTTAAAAAAGAAATGGTGAAAATATACATTGGGAATATAAATTGAGGACTGTTAGTTTGCATATTTTCGGGCATGAAATGTAGGATGTTATTTTTATTTGAAATACCAATTTTGAGATACTAGTTCACACGGGTAACATTATACATGAGAACAAAACCCACATCGCCATATGAAGAAACAAAAAGAAGCACTGCAATGCTTGAATGAGTTTTGCACTTTCACTCTAATCGAACGTTACCGACATTTACATATTCGGTCCTCACAGGAACAGGCAGAGAAATAAAGAAGCTTCTGCCCCATCAAACTGGAATCTGATGGGAAATATATGAAAGGCGGTGTACAATTCTTCACATGGGAACAGAGTGATATATACGACCACCAGAACGGTCAATCAAACCGTCCCAGTAGGATCATCATTCCACTGAAGGTGCTTTGAGTCAGAATCAACCAGATCTCGTTATCTTTCACTATAATCCCTTGAAAATAAGAAGCTGCCTCCCCCAGAGATCTGTCTATCCTATTTCCCATGCCACTTAAAATACACACACAGATAGACTCATTTCCTCTAACAACAATGTGCTCACTTGAGTCATTTTGGATATTAAACACATTATTCTGCAAATTTCCACTGAGAAAAGGGCGCAATTTAGAGACCCATTTCCCACACCAGCACTAACAGCTGTAATGTGGTATTTCTCAACTTGCCAGGCAATGCCTATTATTTCTGGATTAGCGCTGGTATTAATGACCGTTTTCCTGGAAACTAGCTCAATTTGGCCAGTTTATCTCTTTGCACAAATTCCGATAAAAACAGCCCCGAGTGCTTTGCCCGTAAAAGTTTTGCGGGTAACTCAAGGAGTCGCAAAGTAAATATATAAAATAAAATTAAGGTAAACCTCTATGTACTAATCCTAAAGTTATTATTTTGATCAAGCGCACATCAGGAAGTGTTGGAAAAAGGTTAAATTCGGAAGCTATTAAGAAGCACAAGTGCAAGCGGTTTCAAGGCAGTAACATTGAAGAGCTACATTTACATTGCGCAGTAAAATCACATTATAAGCAGAGGTGGGACAAAGTCATTGTTATGCAAGTCCAAGTCGAGTCTGAAGTCATCAAATTCATGACTCGAGTCTGACTCGAGTCCAAGTCACATGACTCGAGTCCACACCTCAGAGGTGGGACAAAGTCATTGTTATGCAAGTCCAAGTCGAGTCTGAAGTCATCAAATTCATGACTCGAGTCTGACTCGAGTCCAAGTCACATGACTCGAGTCCACACCTCTGATTATAAGCAACATTGTACAAATAAGATTATGGAATCAGTTGGAGTAGGGAATGAGCCGAAAGGAACAGGTATAAATAACTGGAAGCGAGAACATATCACCCTGAATATAAGTATGGGTAATTCAATACCTTAATCCACTTCACCTTGCCAATTTTATATCATGTAATGGCTTAACATTGCCCAGCGGCAGCACATTTGCTGCTTGTTGCAGAGGGTTGTGGTTCTATTCTGGCAGGCCACCCTTGTTATTGCTGTGGTGCGTATTAATCATTAAGTCATAAAGTACAGCGATAGCTCTGTGATCTAGCGCTTTACCATCCAAAATGTTCTATCAAATCGGCATCTGTCAGAGACGGAAATTCAAGTCTTCCTTTGCGTACCTGGAAAAATTCCGACAGTCATCTGCCATTTTGACGTGCGCTTCTCATAGATCTTTGTGCTTACGGAAGCTTCGGGACGCTGCCGAGTGATGGTGCAAGCAGCAGTCTCTACATACGATACTCTATACCACTGTATACTGTACTCTAAACGGCCCAACTGCTTCTCTACAATCAACTTAAAAATGCTCTACAACTGACCTGTGAGTCCCTCTGTAAAAGAGTAAAGAGTTTCTTTCTTGCAAAGTTGTATGCACTCAGAAAATTTGATGAACCGTAAGTATAGCTCTCAGATAACCAGCATATTTGATGGACCAGCATCCTCCATTCCCTAAGGATGCCGGACAGCACAGCATTTGCTGTACGCTCCGTTTGCTTCACGGTGGACGTTAAAGATCCCTTGACGACATTCGAAAAGAGTAGGCCATCGACATTTGCACGAGTGTGAAACTACTACAGTACTACAGACTTGTATGTGTGTATGTTGAACTTCTTTCAGCCAACCGTGCTAATCTGGAGGTGCAGTGTTGAGTCTATGGGCAGTGTTGAGTCTATGGCTAGTGTTAGTCTATGGCTAGTGTTAGTCTATCGGCAGTGTTGAGTCTATCGGCAGTGTTGAGTCTATGGCTAGTGTTAGTCTATGGGCAATGTTGAGTCTATGGCTAGTGTTAGTCTATGGGCAGTGTTGAGTCTATGGGCAGTGTTGAGTCTATGGCTAGTGTTAGTCTATGGGCAGTGTTGAGTCTATGGCTAGTGTTGAGTCTATGGCTAGTGTCAGTCTATGGGCAGTGTTGAGTCTATGGCTAGTGTTGAGTCTATGGGCAGTGTTGAGTCTATGGCTAGTGTTAGTCTATAGGCAGTGTTGAGTCTATGGCTAGTGTTAGTCTATGGGCAGTGTTGAGTCTATGGCTAATGTTGAGTCTATGGCTAGTGTTGAGTCTATGGCTAGTGTTGAGTCTATGGGCAGTGTTGAGTCTATGGGCAGTGTTGAGTCTATGGGCAGTGTTGAGTCTATAGCTAGTGTTAGTCTATGGGCAATGTTGAGTCTATGGCTAGTGTTAGTCTATGGGCAGTGTTGAGTCTATGGGCAGTGTTGAGTCTATGGCTAGTGTTATTCTATGGGCAGTGTTGAGTCTATGGCTAGTGTTGAGTCTATGGCTAGTGTCAGTCTATGGGCAGTGTTGAGTCTATGGCTAGTGTTGAGTCTATGGGCAGTGTTGAGTCTACGGCTAGTGTTAGTCTATAGGCAGTGTTGAGTCTATGGCTAGTGTTAGTCTATGGGCAGTGTTGAGTCTATGGCTAATGTTGAGTCTATGGCTAGTGTTGAGTCTATGGCTAGTGTTGAGTCTATGGGCAGTGTTGAGTCTATGGCTAGTGTTAGTCTATGGGCAATGTTGAGTCTATGGCTAGTGTTAGTCTATGGGCAGTGTTGAGTCTATGGGCAGTGTTGAGTCTATGGCTAGTGTTAGTTTATCAGTCTATGGGCAGTGTTGAGTCTATGGCTAGTGTTGAGTCTAGTGGCTTCCTATCGTCGGAAAGAAGAACGTTCCAGACGGCCGCAGAGGCGCATCCGAAAGTGTGCGATGCAGTGACCGTCTTTGTATGTGAAACAGAGCACCTTCCTGTGCAATAGCCTCGTGCTATAAGAATGTTGTGGATACCGCAAAAGGTTGTCTTGATTCGTCCTCTTAAAAAGCACAATCTATTTGCGTACTATTGTTTGGAGAACACGTAATATTTTACTATAAAGATTGCTCTGTCTTGACTGAAATTACATGGGGACGAAATATCTTCATTGAAATTGTATTTTTTCCAAATGAATGTCCCACTACATATGTGCTAAATAGAATCAATGAGAATGCACGAACAGCAAACCCCATTCGGCATAAGTCGTACTGATTTTATGCAGTGCGGAAACTATTTAATGCAGTCCCCCTGTATACTTGCTGCCTCTTTGATTGACAATCCACATTCAGTTAAAATTTACTTTTTATAAAAAACGTATTTTATGAATAACGTATTGTCCTGCGTTAGAAAGCAATGTCTATTTTCATTAAAGTGTAACAAAACTATGTCTCGCCCGTGCCCTTCATCCCTTTTACCAAGGTCATTCCTATTATCTTTTCTCAGATTAAAAGCCAAATAACACGTGGAATGACATGTTCTCGGGTCCATCAAAATCTCACATAAGAACAATTCACGTTCAAAAAGTTACGACGTGAGCATTGCAGTATCTGGTTATATGCATAATATGAATCAATACAACATTTTGCGTTGAGTTTGTGTGTAAATGTTAATACCTATCAAATAATTTTGACAAGCTATCATAGCTGGATTCATGAGAGTGTTTCAAGTGACTTTTTCACTATTTCACCTCCTACTCACCCTCTCTACCTACTTAGCGCTCGAATCCTGGCAGCCCCTGCACTGAAATCCTCACCCTAACTCTCACCTTTTTCATAGCTTATCATTCCACTGACTCTGCTTCCCATCGCTTCCTCTATAATCAACACACATTATACCGAGGCGATAATTACGACTTCGCTTGTCAAGGTAGAATCATTATTTATGAGAGCATTTCTTTTTACATGCGGGACTTTACTTTTGCATTAGGTGTTCCGTGCCCGAATATTTCCTGCTGATCCCAAAATCCATTTACAAACGGATTATTACATGGACTAAATATATCAATAAACACACACGCAAAAGACACAATTACCGCCCATGGCATGCTATTACAAAGTACATTTTGGACATAACTATAATTTAAACAAAACCTGATACTGCGTTGCCGATGATGCACCAAGCAAAAGTAACATGAACTTAAACACATTCGTCAATAACACTGCCTATGAGGAAACAAAAGAATGTTACAGGGAATGGCCCTACTCATACAATTGCTTCCTACAAGGGACACCGTCGAGTTTTTTGTCTTTTCCTCGCACCTCCGATTAGCACGGTTGGCTAAATACGGTGCGAAAGAAGTTCAACATGCATACATGCCATATGAATGTGTCAATTTTTTCATCATTCAAACAATCACAGTTTAAATTTCGATTTAAAGCTTTCGTGACTGCAGGGATTCATCTTCTTGGTTCTTTCGGTAAAGTCACGTAGAAGGGAAATAATAAAACGCAAGCAGCCGTCCTCAGGGCAGCTCAGGACGGCTGCTTTAGTTGTGGCCGAAACGTCGTTAGAATTATTTAATTATGTTTTATTTTATTATTTTATTATTTCCCTTCTACGTGACTTTACCGAAAGAACCAAGAAGATGAATCACAGTTTACACCACGTACAAATAAAATAATGTCGAGTTCATTTCAAATGCATACATTGTCACGGTCACTCGGCTGTGTGTATGTGGAAACACCTATTGCAGGTCACATCAGTTCAGGTTATCTTTCTGCCTTCTATCTTGTTATTATTTAATACATTATCCCTTCGTATGGCTCAGTGCATTCATGGCTCCCAAGACCACTGTACACAATGGAAGGCTCTTGTTGTTGGCGATACAAAAAGCGACTGGCCATGTCAAGGGCACATACAAATGCACACGTACTTTAGAGACATATGAAGATAATTGATATTCCTTGGTTCTGGACAGAGGTGTGGAGTACGTCGAAAAGAAGGAAGGCTGGTGTAAAAAGCACACTTAGAGGGTTCGCTTTGTATTAAAAAAATAGACAACCAATGAAAACACATGTCAAAATCTGGCATACTCAAAGCACACGCACATCTGCTTTACGCGTATGTTGTTCTTCGAAAGTGCTTGGAAAATCTACAGGATCAATACATATGTGTAAAATCCTTCGCAAAACTAACATGTTTTAGCCTCTTCACAAACATACGATAGAAATGTCCACGTGCTTCATGTGTCAAGTGCTAGTAGGATGCGGAAATAGGCTATACATTGAATTTAGCAAATCCCATTAGAATACAGAGAATTATAAGGACACTATTGTAAAAACAACACGTAAATCACTGCACATGACATGAGTTGTATGGCTCATGAAAAGGAACAATACAATTATCGAAAAAATGGTTACTCAAAGCAGAGCGAATGAATTTTCATTCAAATACAACAAGCCACTTTCACCTCCTTAATGGAAATCGAGAACTATTTTACAATTGCAATACGTGCCCAAGAATATGTGGTGGTATCCTAGAAACCCATGACGGATTCGCGATGACTACAGTGACCCTTGGCTTATAATAACTGTGGTTCTACGCTTCACGTTATCTAGTCAGCAGACTGATTACTGCATGCTTACCTGCTCTCTGAAAACCAAACGAGCCAAATTCCTTCGCTTGAATGAACCCTTCGTAGATGTAGGTTAATCCATCATGCTCCACCGACACCTTGCACATGCACATCATAAAATAGGATGCGTCAAGCAATTAAAACGTGTGTCATAATTGCCATTTTTTGTTGAAACGGCATATGCTGAAAAAATATACCCTTGAAATTTACGACAACAAAACATAGTATGCACATAAATTTGAAGCATTCAATATGTTACTACTACGTATGTTTTCATGGCTGTGCTATATAACTCTTCGATGTGTTTCGGGTTGCAATGCACGTTGTTTGATACGATGTCCAATGTTTCGCTCCACATGCTCGGAGCCTCTTCAGGAACTGGTTGCGAAATGTCAGACATCGTGCCGGACAACATACGGCACATGCGAAAATGACATCAGAGCTATTCATTATATTGTAACTTAAACCATAACAACATTTTATGAATGTAAAATGTTTGCAGTGAACTTACAAAACCATCCATAGCCCAGCTCTCTTCATTGACTCTGGCGATTAAGTTGTAATCCAAGTTGTAGACCTGTCGGATTCTCAAGAGCAGTCGTGCATCTTCCCCTTTATAAACACCTGTGTGTATACAACGTTGCATTACTATTCATTGATTTGTAAAAGATTATCATGAGCAACACCTATGCAACAACGACAAAAAACGACGGAAGAAAAATTATACGTAAAAAAAACGTGCTTTGTCAAACCAACTATAAACTGCTGTGGATACTTATCATTAATTTCACTGAAAAAGGATTGATATTAATGTTGATTACACGTTACTATTTTGGTGAATAAGCAAGTCTTTATGTGATTGCGGGCAAGAAGGAGCAGGGGTTGGATAAAAAAAATAACTTCACGTAAAGTCCATAGATTCTTGCCTCTCTGTGCCAGTGACCATCTCAATAACAACATGCCTATGAAGAACTATACCCTTTAGTATTGACCTTTTGACCAGTGAAGAAATCGCAGGAGAGAGATATTGTGGTCCTGGACCTTTGCTAAATTATTTTTTTCCAAGGTTGATCAATCTGGTTCAAAAAATGTAGTGTGGGGGAGTATGAACAGAAATATACCAGCGGCAGCTTCAGGAAGCACTGGCCATGTCATATTTTAATCTATAAGTCATCAAATACAATGCGGATCAAAAACGCGGTGGTCCTCGACCACATCGAAAATGTCATAGGCACTCGTGAAACAGGTTCAGAGATACCTCGGGCGAACGTGGTAAAATGGCAAGATTAATAAGGTCGTCGCTTTAAGTGGGAACTTGATGTGCATGGACAGTGGGGACTGGAGGTGGGGGCAACTAATCACCAATTTTCAGCCAATTAAAAGCCACGGTGGGCCGCATGTTTGTGACAAATTATGCTTAATTCTAATATATTCCATTTCAAATAACACACCTCGAATACAATGATGAAATTGCTGCGAGCATTTAGGAGTACATTTTAATCCATAATTATATGAATCAAGTTTGTTTTGTTTAACCAGGTGAGAACTGAAGAGACCAACATAATCTAATTTGCATGAAGCTTTATAAAATAATTAGGCAGTGTAAAGTGTCCATTAATCAGCAGTGAAACCAGAGTGGCTGGTGATAATGATGATGGGTCTATACTATTTACCATAAGCTTAACCCGTAGTAGCAATGACTGTTTTCAGAGTAAGAAACACAGCCTTGATGTTGTGTTGCGGAAATTGAGACAAACCAATAAAGAGACGAAAGTGTGAGTGAGTTGTAAAGGTTACCTGTCAAAGCTAACTCCATGAGGTTAGCCATGAAACTGCAGTTCATTCGGCCGGTTGAAGCATTGAAACCCTTTATTATGAGCGTGGCTTGATGTTTGCGCCCTTGGTAGTCAAAAGAGCCTTTCCAAACATAGTTGAGCTCAAACACACTGTCTGGAACTGAAAACAAATCCGATACAACACACGTGACTGCAAAGCAATAATCAGTCACATTTTGCTGCTAAATATGGCCAATTTAATGGAAAAAGTAGTATGGTCGAATTCAAGTAAAATGTAGGTGTCCTGTATTTGATTCTGTGACGAAATTTACTGTTTATGTATTACAGCCAGATTGCTGTATACGAATATTAAGAAACGATGAAAGACCAAATAGTGTTCACATTTATCTTTTGTGATTACAATATCAAGCTCTGTGGTCCATGCTGTAATTAAAAGTACATATAATGTATATCTGACTCTTCGCGCTTGAGCCAACGATGAAAAGAGTTTTGGAAATGTATTTATTGCGGTTAAATATATATGCGAAATGACAGAATACATATTCAACGCTGCAACTCTCGCAAGTTATTACTTTCACTGCTCGGCAGCAGATTGCAAAATTAACAGTTGCTAACAATGCCTTGAAAATATTAGTAAACATTTCACATTGAATATCTGCCAACTATGAGCAGCTGGATTTATATGAGAACATGGCAAATGATGCAGTGAAATTCACTAATGACTAATGTCACAGTGACCAATAATATAAAAAAAGCACTTGCCAGTTGGTTTGGGGCTTAGAGATCCCATTGTGGGTATATTCCTTTTTTCATTCGGTTTTGGGCCAGCTGTTAAGGAAATACAATTATTAAGTGAGAGCAATTCCTACCTGCCCTCAATTCAGATACATAGTGCATAGGTATGTAAACTAATACATTATTGATGCTTTATTATTCATGGCTCAGGGTATTTAACATTGCAATTAGTTTTTTTAGTATTAAATGAATCGAAATTGAATGCAATTTAATGGTCAGTATGCTCATAATATACATGATTAAAGATTATAACATGCAATTGTGTATGATAGAGAAGACTTCAAGTCATGAAAACATTGTGCCCGAAATGTAAACATTAACAATAAAAACATATTTAAGCTTTTTTTCTTCTTCTTGGTTCTTTCGGTAAAGTCACGTAGAAAGGAAGTAATAAAATAATAAAATAAAACATAATAAAATAATTCTCACGACGTTTCGGCCACAACGCAAGCAGCCGTCCTCAGGTGAAGAATGAAACACCACTAAGCTTGGAGCATATATTTAAGCTGGTTTGGAGGGGGGGAGGTGGGAAGAAGAGAGCCTTGACAAAATAATTTGCATATCAAGAGGAATTTAGCATATGGAAAATGCGTAGGAGGTGGGCGGGGGGGTTTCAAATTAATATTATGACCGTGCATTATGCAGGATTAGCAGCATTAAAGGGAGGGGAAAGGGGGGTAGCATTAACAAAGGACAGTAATGTTAATAGTATGTAGCTGCAGTTACTAAACAACCACGTAGAAAACTAAAGTATAAACTAACATAAACAACACTTTAGTTTTCTACGTGGTTGTTTAGTAACTGCAGCTACATACTATTAACATTACTTTCCTTTGTTAATGCTACCCCCCTTCCCCCTCCCTTTGATGCTGCTAATCCTGCATAATGCACGGGCATAATATTAATTTGAAACCCCCCCGCCCACCTCCTACGCATTTTCCATATGCTAAATTCCTCTTGATATGCAAATTATTTTGTCAAGGCTCTCTTCTTCCCACCTCCCCCCCTCCAAACCAGCTTAAATATATGCTCCAAGCTTGGTGGTGTTTCATTCTTCACCTGAGGACGGCTGCTTGCGTTGTGGCCGTAGCGTCGTGAGAATTATTTTATTATGTTTTATTTTTATTATTTTATTACTTCCCTTTTACGTGACTTTACCGAAAGAACCAAGAAGATGAATCCCTGCAGTCACGAAAGCTTTAAATCGAAACATATTTAAGTTGGAGCTAAACAATTTTAAATGTTTCATGACAGTTTACAAGTATGAATAGACCCGGATATTTAAGATGACATGCCGATAGATGTAACCATCTGAGATAGCTAAGCCAAAATCACACCCCTGAGATTAAATGTGACATCGCGATATATCAAGTAATATTAACTTGCGAACATGAAGACATTCTAGGAAAGGGAAGTATTGAATACCCCACAAACACAATCTATACATGGGGCATCTCACTAATGGTAGGTACACTTCACTTTTTTTTCTTGAGCTTTGGATTTTTTGAAAAATTTATTTTTATTTGTAAAAGATATAGGAGTATGCTCGTAGTTCAGATGAAATTGATATACATAGATTACATGAATATAAACACAAAATGTAAGTATTGCATCTTTGTTGTATTTTGCAGATTGTATATTGCGTATATGAGCAGTCATATTTTGAGTGTGCTTCGGCATAGTATTAATAATACAATACATTTATCAGAATAAACCACTAATCTCCCAAAGATTATGAGATTAACAGGCTAGTCAGTTCATGCAGTGGCTACTCAGAGAAAATTGGTAAGAGACAGCTTGCATTTAAAACTGTAAAATACAAGTACAAAAGCACACACAGATGCAAAACTAAACTCATTTAAGTATCAATCCATGTCACTCCCGCAGCTTATAAATTCCACACACATATTTGAGTAAAATACTTCGTAATAACTTAATGATAAGATGATACAGCGAATGTAAACATTGCGTGGGCACAAAACAGATGGATGTACACACTTGCACACACACTCGCTTGGCTAGCCATAATCCAGCATGTTTTCAAGGAAGGAAGAAAAAAGAGTTTTCACAGTAAGGCAATCTCATTGCTAACAGACTGCAATACGACACGTCTGTATGATTGAAGAGAAAATGCCACTATTGTATATGCCACGAAACACATATCACAGCTGTCAAACACTAAAATTATGTAAGCCCTGGTCCGTTACACGCCATTACAGTGGTGGGTCTCACTCATGTTTATTCTCACTCTCCCAAGGCATTAAGTATCCAATATAAAAACGTGTTTATCTCCATTTATTAGTTGTAACAAAAATACTTAGGCATTTTTTTTAAATGTTACACGGTTATCTGCAGCAAATTATTGAACCCATGATTTGTACTTATCATGGCACTTTCATTTCAATGGCTTTGTGCACAACTTGCTCACATTATTGAGACTATGAAAACATGATGTATTGCACAAAATATTCCACTAAACATGAAGCACACTACATATCTAATTCACCTCAACTATATGCTTGGAATCACAATGAGAGACAGCACGATGAACACATGGGTTCGCAAACATATGCAGGTTAAAGACGACATTCAACATCGTTCATAAAAAAAATTAACCCGTAAAAACAAAGTTTTTCACTATAAATCCTTTATATGCGTGGCATCGGGGCGGCTAGAGTCCTCTCGTCCTCTGGCTTGAGATGGCTGCCACCTATGGGTCAGATGATTGTCTGGCAGAATTAAACAATTGGTAATTAAATATTAAAAAATTTTCCCCTAAACAGTGTAAAATTTAGGAAAACATTTTTTTGACGAAAATGCATTGTCATGCACAACGAGTCTGTGTGCAAAATGTCAGCTCGATTGGATCACGGGAAGTGGGTTAAAAAACGACTGAAATATTTGCACGGTCCTAAGCAAGCAAGCAAGCGAACTTAATATAAAGGATTTAATAACTGGACTTGGCCAGGACAAAGTCGCTAGACGGGATGATGGCCAATGGACACGAGTAGTCATAGAGTGACATCCAAGAAATGGAAAGCATTGAAGAGGATTTCCGCCAAGATGGAGAGGGTGTCCACAAGAAAAAAAATCATCCTGTGTGCAGATGCTCAGCGGCCTTAATCCAAGGTAGATTGATCATGGAGGCTACTGTTGCCACTGATGATCACGATAAAATGCAGCTATTTGTAGGATATCGTTTTATAAGTAGGCAAAACGCAACCAGGCGCGGCCTTCATAATCCTGCAGGATTTACTCGTTCCGGCAATAAAACAGGTGTTCAGATGTTCAAACACCAAATATAAACCTAATGCAAGGCATCGAGAATTAGTCACACATACTTGTGGCGAAACATGCGCACAAACATGCTCTGATAACACATGCACTGATTGGCCTACACCAGAAAAAACACCTGTTTTATTGGCAAAAAGAGTAAAGCCTAATTCTACTTTTGTCATAAAAAAGGTCCTATAGCTTTGTGAGGGAGGCGTTTGCGCGGACGTGCTTGCGACTCACGATGGCAGATGGGAGTTTTTCCCGACCAGGTCCCGTCGGGACGGCAGCTGCGGTGCTCCGAGCCCCCCGCCAGGTAGAATCCGGGCTGGCAGCTGTACATGAGCGTGTAGCCCAGGCCGGGCAGTTCCACGGCCCCTACGTCTGCATTTTCTGGGGTCTCCAGCTGCTTGCAGCCGTGCGCTGGGCGCAGGCACACGCAGACACACACGACAGTATCTATCAGTACTCATCACACAAAGCCTAGGCAAACACCACTGGGTCACATTCTTCATGTTTATCAATATGTACCGATTAAGTGAAACATAATGGTGGGGGGGGGGGGGAGATGGAATTAAGAGAATTGCCTCAACAATGCTCAGCGGATGGAACCCAGCCTCAGCAGCTCTTGACAGTAGACTTGCAGGAAAATTTTGTTATATGCTGATTAGCACCAAAAAAGGTAACCGAATTACATATATTGCAGGTATGTGGTGTTTTCTCAAAGCAAATAGAGGACATTACCCAAGATTATATTCTATTACTGTACAAGATTTTCCCTGTCGTGGCTTCATGTCAGATAAATACCAGTGTGCTGCACGCAAGCTACCTCCGCTGGATAGCAGTTATTTCAAAACAACATGTAGGGTGAGGATAATTATGTTGAAAATTATATTCACAGCGTGTGTGCCTTATGATCATCAGGATGTGTTTGGAAATATTGAACCGTGCACCCTTGACAGATATCTGCAACTGGGCGATATCCCATCGCTGAGAAGCATAATGCAAAGGCAGTGGTAGTTTTCAATTTTGGTCATAAACAGGCCATGTTTTCATGTCAAAGATCAAATAGACTTGTGCGATGTACATCATGAATAGTACGTGAACCAGACAACCTGGTGCCTGCTGTATGGAAACTGTGATAAAAAAAAATAAACAATACCAGTATTAGAGTTATTAAACATAGCAATGGCACAAGTATGAAGAAACCCTAAAAATGAAAATCAAGACGTAAAAATAAAAACGTGATTGAATTTGGAGCGCTATCAACGGTAATAGTGGGGCATTCGCCTCGACTGGGTATATATATCACACATTAGTTTATCATCGGGAGGCAGATTATGATTTCAGAGTACATTTTTCAGGTGAGGCCAAACACAGATGGCAAATGTTGGATGACTGATTATTTCACGTAGGTAATTTGGCTACGAATGAAGCAAGCTTAACACAAGTGGACTCATCTAAGTGGTTTCCAATTCATTGCTTAGTTTGGTGACCAAATGTTCTGGTGTTGGAGGCATGGGCACAGAGATTCAAGGCCTGGAGGCGGATGGATTATTGCAGTAAAGCGAAGAGAGAATGATTTCCCTCCAAACCTTTCCCTTGATACAGTGTGTCAGCCATAAATATGTCCCTTAATATCTTTCTTTGGCAACAAAATCATAAATCAATCAATACTGTATTAAAGGACATGCCAGAATTGTTCTCTCGTAAACAAATTCCAGGGGCAGAAGAAAAAATACAAAATACATTGTGGAATCAAAAAGAGGTTACAGTATAAACTTTACACTTGCCACGTCTACATTTAAAATGTATTGCTTTTAAGATAATTGCTTTCAGGAATAATAATGTGACGAGAACATTCAATGTGGTGATTGCTTACACGTTTTCACAAAGTTAAATTATTGTTAAGATGCTGAAACTTAAAGTTAATATTATTACGTGCGAATATTAATACATTCATTTATATTTATACCCTCCATTCATAATTCACGACATTTTGTTGACAGAAACTTAGATATGATGGTGCTGATGAAGTTACACATGACATACGTACAAATGCATTCTGGCTGAGTTCCACTCCAAGTGAGATCAGAAAGGCAGATTCTTGTGGTAGACCCTTGGATGTGAAACCCTTTTTGGCATCTAAAGGAAACTGTGCTGTCAACCTAAACAGACACACACACAAGCAAGTAAAATCATATTTTGTCCTTAAGTAGAATGTTGGGGGGGGGGGGGGTTCAGTCAACATCAGTGATCAGATATCCCTATTTTCTTCACTACTGAAAGGTAACAATTGCCCTTGGCCAGATACTGCTAACCTGCAGAAAACTCTGAGAACAAGACATGCACTGAACCACGTGTCTTTGCCAAAGCTTTTGTGTTCGTTCTTAGAGACATCATCTTAATGGTTTACTTTTGTAATGCAGGCTACACTATCTTCAGAGTTAGAGAAAAACAAAATCGTTATATATCCTTATTAAATTGCCTTCTCAGTTGTCTCATGTGCTTTAAATTTCTACTGCTGCGACGTTCAGTATACGATCACATTATCAAATGTGATTTGTAACTTTTATCATTACCTGTGTATCGATAGCTCAATGTTAATGTGCCAATTTATTGAGGGACTGTTCATCTTGGTGTGGTCTGAGACTTTTGTGGTAGTTTTTGCTGCCTTTATTGATTAATTGGACTTATATAATTAATGTATGTATTATTATTTTTATATTTAGTGACTCGCTTACCATTTTCTCTGCTTTACACTCCGTTTTTTTAGTGTTTGTTATTTTAACTGGCTGACCCACCCATACTGAATATCTGTGAAATAGAGCTTCATAGCTCACCAGATTCCTCCAATCTAAATAATGATTCTGATTTCACTTCCAGTACATGGAGTGGAACTTCAGACACCATGCTAAACCACAGGGGAAATAACCCAACAAAAAAACAGAGCGATATACAGCACAAACGTGAAATCTTACGCAGTAGCATATTTTTATTTCGTTAATTGTTGTGATTTTATAATCATATTTTATTATATGTATTTGTATACACTATAGTATTACCATTTGCATTGTTTCATGTTGCTTAATTCTCTATTGGAAGATGTCCACACAGCACAGAATTAGTAAAAAAAAACAACGATGGCATAATTGAATAAGGAGTTGAACCGTGAGGACAAGGGCCTTTGGGTTGTGGAAGATAGGGTAGCCAGCGTTCAATTGCTAACTTTGTTGAATAAAGAATGGACTTACATAGGTTCAGATGGTGACGTAAATAATACTACTACATCAAACAATTTAGTAGGGACAGCATTGTTGCATTAATGCATTATTAAACAGGAAGGAAGTGACAGTGAAATGTATTGGCCTCAATGGATTTGGAAATAATGACCCCATGCCCTTGAAGATTAAATATTTTAAGTCTGAATTTTGTAAGTATGAATATATAGAGGGGAAGAGAAATAATCTTACTTGATATCCTTGAGTGATATTCTGCTCACCAAACTGAGGTGTTCCAGGGTTTAAACACGTTGTCTGCGACGGATCTGCAGCAGAATGGGAACAATTACAGGTCATTTTGGATATAACACTTTCTATTAATCTACATTTTGAATGTTGTGGCAAGCCAATTCCACGTAACAAACTATATAAATGCACGTTATCGGTGGCTCACTTATTCAGCATCAAAGCACATTTCAGAACAATAGTAAGTCGACCCTATTCCGTGTGGATCAAATCCCACGTATAAAACTATGAGGATTAACTTTTAGAATTTTTTTTAAAATAATGATTATCAAAATTCGTGTTTGTCCGTGAATCACAGCACCCTCGCGGTCGCCGTGGGCCCTAAGAATGGCATGGATACAAATGTACTCGTGATTGAAATTGAATGTTCCCACACACCCAGGATAAAAAAAAAAAATTCCTCTTTGTAAACATTTTACCCTTACACGCGGTCCGGAGGATCTTACCAATGCACCGTGGCTGTGTGCCACTCCAGGTCCTATCTGCACGGCATGCCCGCAAAGAAGAGCCAACAAGCACCAGGGGAGGGTTGCAGCTGAAGGAGACGTCTGCCTCGAAGATGAATCGCTTGCCTTCGCGCTTGCCCTCAGCCGGCGTGCCTGGGTCTCCGCAGAATACAGCTGCAGCAGTGGTGAGAGACAGTAATTAATTATGCGCACACATGCTTCATTATCCTCACCACTTTCACCGTTACTGAAAAGCATTTTTTTCCAAGTAAAACCCACACGTGAAATTGCTAATGTGTGTTACAAAGGTTAACAATTATGATATGCAGCAATTTATTTAATCAAAAATGCATTTTGATAAAAAATATATATAAGTTTGGCATTGAAATGGAACAATTATGTTAAATGTAATGTTTGTGTGTACCCTGGGAATGTATTCTTTAAAACATGTATTTTGCCAATGTCAGACAATGTTTGTTTTGCTTGTTTGCTTTATTTGCTTAATTATTTTGAATATTAAAATAAAAATACTTTTTGTCGATGTCAACTGCAATTTTGTTCTACATGTCATACAATTTTGTTGAGGTTATACATGACTAAATTGTAGCACAGCCCAAAGTGGGCAGGGATTAAGGCAGAGCCACTCAACGTTTCTGAAAACGTGGAGCTGCTTCCAACCACAGTCGTGTGGCTGGTGGGCCATGGAGGGCCATTCCTCAAGAATACATGTTTTGAGCTACCATTCCACACTTTAGTTTTACACATTTGTATGGAAACTTACTCCGGTCATCTTTGCAGCGGCTTTTAGCTAGCCATTGAACACACTGCATTGTGTGCTTTCAAATGTGCATATGTGGCCGTATGGAATGTTCTTCCTTCCGATATTAGAAAGGCACTGGAGCTACGCACTTTTAAATCTACGTTGAAAATTAATTTCTTTAGAACTGCTTTTTGTGGTTAGTTCCTTGTCATTTCCTGCTTCTCCGATTAGCAAGGTTGACTATGTATGGTGCGAAAGAAGTTAAACATCCATACAACTTAATGGAACTGTCTTAGATATTTTCCTTTCACCTAAAAGATAAAATTAATGAATGTACAGCCCTTTGTCAATCCACTTCCTTTGATGTTTCAGTGTATGTGGCTGCAATTGATTCATATATTGTGGGATGAACTTGGAGTCCTATATTCGATTAACGGCCATGTCACACATCATTGAGTCTCCTCTATGACAACTCAGCCTTAAATGGGTGTATTTTGTGGTGTGCACTGTAAAGGTAATGGTTGGTGGATTATCATTGGATAGGGTTAGTGGGTGGGGCATTAATGGGTCATCAGAAGTTGCATCAGCAAGTGTCATTATTATTATCATTATTATTATTTAATGTTGAAATGATATTCATCTACCATATGCATTTACCATCATCTTGAACTCTCAAAATCATCATCTTATTTTAATTCATCCATCTACATCTCCACTATTACCATCATCTTCCTGTTTGTATGTTGAACTGCTTTCACACCATACGTGGCCATCCATGCTAATTCAGCCATCATCATTGTTACCGGTTTGAAGTAACACTAAGCCATCTTTGGCTCACCCGCTACATTCTGGACTAAGGTGGTACAACTGTCAATAAGCATGTGTATGTGTTTGTGTGTAAGATGGACCAGAGCCTAATTGTTTGGTTTTATCCATTTGGTTGAGTATAATAACACGAGTTTGCTCAACTTTTATTTTTCTTGGCACTCCCCTGGCTGCTGATTTTTTGCGGAATGGGGTCCCACCCATTCCACTTTGGGAATTGGGCCCAAGACTGGCATGTGAATTATCATTATTATTATAATCATCATCAATGTTGCAGAATTTCAACATAAAGCCAGAATTCCCACATATTAAGAATCTAATTCTAAACGACTCAGTCCACTTAAAAAATGGGCTCCATTGTGGTAATGGGGACACCATAACATTGTCAGTAATAATCACGTGAAAATGTACATGCAAATCAGGCCCGACAGATTTTGTATCTATAATTCTCATGGATAAGTTGCACAGGTTGGCTACGAACAGTGCAAAAGAAGTCCAACATACATACATAGCATGCATATATTTGCGAGGGTCTACATGCATGCAAGTAGTGTGTGCGAGTATGGATATTCTGAATTTTTGTTTTCAAATTTAAAGTGCAGCTTTTTTTTTTACGCAGGCACTGTGGTACGTCGCCCCTCCATGTGCCGTTGCCCTCGCAGGTGAGCGTGGCAGGGAAGGAGAGCTCGTAGCCCGAGGAGCAGCTGTAGCTCACGCTGGCTCCCCACGAGAAGTCTGAGCCCAACAGCCGCCCGTTCAGCACCCTCGGCGGCTGCCTGCACGTGATCACTGCAAATACGAAGTCCACAGAGATGTAAAGAAAAAGGCACGCGGTGAGATATCGCCTCAATAATTGGTGGAGTGAAGTACATACATTTATTTATTATAGAATCGTCCTTTAACGACAGTGAAACTGACGATTTTTCAAAAAGAGTGTACACTTCATGCCATCATTCCTTATCACTTGGCAAGCACATCCAATCATTTTAACCCAATGATCCTTACCTCTGCAGAGAGGCAGGGATCCACTCCATGCCCCATCTTTCCCACACACCCGAGTGGATGAGTGGTGTGGGTCGATCCTGTAGCCTGGGTTGCAGTGGTACGTGACATTGTGGCCAAATGTGAAGTCACTTCCAATGCGCACACCATTGGCCACAGAGCCGGGTTCACCACAGTTGAATACTGTAAACAACAAAAAGTATATATATAGTCTTTAAATATCATGCATAGTGTACTAGTGACAAACTCGTTGAGGCAGGAATGACTTCTCAGGTGTTAATTTTCCCTGTATGGACATTTATATTTTTAAATCCTTTATTTTAAGTTCACTTGCTTGCTTGCTTGCACGCTTACGACCGTGCAAATCTTTCAGTCGTTTTTTAACCCACTTCCCGTGATCCAATCGAGCTGACATTTTGCACACAGACTCGTTGTGCGTGACAATTTATTTTCGTATAAATTTTTTTCCAAAATTTTCCACTTTTTAGGGGAAAAAAATTCATATTTTATTTAAAATACCAATGTGATAAAAATGAAACTCTTACTCAAGAAAAACAGAAATGAATAATAAAATAAAACCGATGCCACGCATATAAAGGATTTTTAGTGAAAAACTTTGTTTTCACGGGTTAATTTTTTAAAATTAAAGATACATTTAAATGTTGGTTATTACATCACCGCACACCACCAGCATGTAATACAGGTGCATTTCCCTCTGTGATGTCAGCCTTCTCAGGGCCCACCGTGTTACGTAAACGAAGTCTACAACGAAATTCATAACGAATAATATTGCTAAGGAAACCGTATGTCGCCAGTCGATCTCTGGCTTACAGCTGAAAGAACAAGCCTGGCAACAAAGGTCATTCTCGGGGCCAGACGAGCCGTTCCATCGGCCCCTCGGTTCGTCTATGCCAGCTAAATGTTGAGGACCTACTCCGAGCTAAGACAGATGTCCTCGCAAAGATCCTTCAGCAAAAAAACATTGACATCCTTACTATCCAAGATACACATGTGAAGGAAAGCAGCTCTCTACGACTGAACATTCCAGGGTACATCCTCGCTGCTTCCAAGGGCCACACAAAACACGGTCTGGCTACTTACGTGGCGCATCACATCAAAGCCAGAGCGGAAGTTATTGAGACAGACAACGACTTCACAATTGGGAGAATAATAGCCGGTCTCGTCGTATGCAATGTCTACAAACCGCCAACAACAACCTGGCACCTAGCAACATTGCCAACGGTGCAACATCCCGCGATCTACATAGGCGACTTCAATAGCCATCACACGATGTTGGGCTACCCAATTAACGACCTGGCAGGCAAACAAATCCTTGATTGGGCATCTGCACAAGAGCTCTTCTTCGTTTTTTATGCCAAGCTACAAGGCACATTCCACTCTGTATGGTGGAATAGAGGATACAACCCAGACGTGTGCTCTATAACGACAATTAACAATGGCTAGCATTTGCCCACCACGTGCAAAGTCCTGCCTCGCTTCCCACACATTCAGCATAAGCCCATGGTCATCCAAATTGGCCACGAAATCCCAGTAATCACCAACACAATCACGACCCCAATGGAACTTCAGATGGGCAAATTGGCCTGACTTTATGGTGGCAGTGGAAAAGGACATTCGCCACATCTCCATGAACCCTGAAAATTTTGAGCCGTTCATCATGCTCGTGAAGAAAGCCACCAGGGATGCGATCTCACGAGACTATGAACATCAAAGCACCAGCCACCCAGAAATCACCACAACCCTTCTGCAGTCGCTAGATTCTGCCAGACAAGCAACGTGTGCAGCATTGATGGCATCTTTTGACGTCACACACTCCAGCATGATAAACTCACCTCTGTCTACAGCTGTACTTCCAGAATAAATATATGGCGCACCGGCAGTACCAAGGCAGGTAAAGCCACAGGAATAGATTTGAAATTCCTAAAACACCTTGGCAGCAAAGGAAGAACCTGGCTGGCAAAACTTAAAATACAAATCATTTCCACCAGCAAGTCTTTGCTCTCCTCAAGCCAGGAGAACCTTCTGATGACCCGCACAGCTACAGGCTAATCTCTCTTCTTTGTACAGCCTACAAGCTACTGGAGTGATTACTGTTAGCTCTACTCTCTCCTCTCTTGGAAGCCACCATACCACCTGAGCAGGCAGGTTTTCAGCCACAACGAAGCTGTTGTAACCAGGTTATCGCCTTATACATCACACATTAAAGCCAGCTTACAGCATAAACAGAAAACAGTGGCTGCTTTCATAGACTTGTCTCTGCATACGACACGGTCTTGCGCCAAGGACTCCTTTTTAAACTTGCCAAACACCATCAAGTGCAAAAAACGATTTGCCTCATCGGCAGTATGCTCAGCGACCGACAATTTCGCGTCCATCTCGGAAACCAGATCAGCTGCCCATGAACTCTACAAAATGGTCTACCGCAGGGGTCGGTATTAGCACCAGCCCTGTTTAATCTGTACACCAGCGACATACCGGCCATATTACGCCGCAAGTTCATTTGCGCAGACGATCTAGCGCTGGTCAGCCAAAGCGACGACACTCAGCGCAGCTCAAGATATCTTGAACACCGACCGAAAGAAATTGTAAGATTATTTCTACTCCTGGCGACTTAAGCCAAATCCAACCAAGACGGTGTCCTCAGCATTCCATCTCAACAATGTGGAGGCAAAAAGTACACTGAAGGTCGAGTTTTGTGGTAAAACCGTCACCAACGACCCACTCCCGAAATACTTTGGAGTGGTGCTCGATCAAAGTCTCACTTTCAGGCAACACATTGAGAAATTTAGCAACAAGATAAAAACCCGCACGAACATTATCCATGAACTGGCGAGAACTGGTTGGGGCTGTGATGCGCGAACACTACGGACTGCCACACTCGCCCTCGTGTATTCGACGGGAGAGTATTGCTCACCTGTGTGGTGAACGCAGCACTCGCACTCGAATTACCGACACACAACTGAACATTGAAGTGCATGCCATCTCAGGTACGCTGAAGTCGACGCCGACTCAGTGGCTTCCAGTGCTCAGCCATATCGCTCCGCCGCAAATCCGTCGTGAAACAGTGGCCATCCGGGAGTACCAAAAAATGATTGTTAACGCACACCTTCCGATACATCAGGACATAAACCCAGTGCCGCCTGTTCGCCTAATATCACGCTACCCCTTTTGGATCACAGCAGCCTCACTCCAGGCCACAAATACAAATGAAGGTGAGAGGTGGAAGCCAGTATGGACTACGACCGACGTCAAAAATAAACATCTCATACAGGACCCTACCGTCGAACCTCCCGGTTTCAAACCTTCCACGCCGCCAGTGGTCGACCCATCAACCGAATCGGGACCGGGCGTGGTCGACGCGGCCACCTGATGCACAAATGGCGCATCAAAGATTCGGCGGCCTGCGCTTGGGGCCATCAATCCCAAACAATTGACCACATTGTAAACAGCTGCTGTCTTCACTCCTTTATAGGAGGAATTGACGAGATTCCACTGCATCTGAACAGACAATTGAGTGGATAACAAATCTAAAATTACATATTTAATCTTCTATTAATCCATACGAAATAAGATTTCCCTCTTATATAGCGAAATTGGGACTTCATATCTCTTGGAAAAATTGTAAGCCTGAGCAGAATGCGACATTATCAAGGGTGGTTCTTACATTATCTACGCATGGGCTGTAAACACCAATCTTTATAAGCCATTTGGAAAACTTCCCCTCAATTCTTACAACTTAATTAATTACCTAATTATACACTGTCGAATAAAAATAGCAATCAAGCATATGGAACATTAACAAGCAAATGCTTATCAAAATAAAAAATGAACATCAGAGGCATGCTGGATTCCAAATAGTATTCACATCATCGTAAAAACAGGCAAATTTATACTACTTTGGTTGTGAAAATGTACTTCATATGAGTTACAGCTAAGCCAGTCATACTAATGTAATTGATCAAATTGCTATTTTTACAAGTAAACTGTATATCATGCACTATACATCTACTGGTTTGCTTGATGGCATTTGAACATGAAACATGCATTTGTAAAAAAAAAAGTGACAATAATGCCAGATTTGCAAAATACTTACCCAGCACTCGGTTATGCACTTACATGACTTGCAAACGTCTTTAAACACGTGGAACGGGAGATTGGCATCGTGTTATTTTAGGCAGCCCACCTGTGCAGTTTGGCAGAACGCCGGTCCAAGTGGCATTGGCGCTGCAGAGGCGGGTAGAGAGGCCCGACATCTGGTAGCCGTCCCAGCAGGCGTACGTCACGGAGCTGGAGAACACCACGCCATCGCTGTGCAGGATGGAGCCTCCGGCCGGCATGCCCGGGTTCCCGCACCACACCGCTGGGCACACATGCACATCCCACGCTCGGGTGTCCAGGCTGTAGTTGTGCTCTTTTTTTCAATATAGATTGAAAACGAATTTATTGAGAAATTTTTTTTGTGTTTAGTTTGTTGGATCTCCCCCCCCCCCCACAAACACGGTTGGCTACCTATGGTGTGAATGAAGCTGCTGCTGGGGCGAGCGATGCGAGGTGAAGCTGGCGGAAGGGCCTCACCAAGCATTGTCAACTGCCTGCCCGAGTGGGTTCCCCCATGGACTGTGTCTATTTTCACAAGCCGGCGTGGTGCATGCCCTATTCCAATACTGTTCCTCCCCTTCAGTTCACAATAAGTGAGGTGAAGGTGCAGCCCTCAAGTTACTTAGTCATGCCACTGCTGGCAGAAAGGTCTCCTGCATCGTACGCTTTTGGATGTGCTTCTGCGGCCATCTGTAATACTCTTCCTTCCGATATTAGGAAGCCACAAGAGCTATGCACTTTTAAATGTAGATTGACATATAATTTTTTTAGAACTGCTTTTTTTGTTCCGTTGTCCTCCGATTAGCACGGTTGGCTACCGACGGTGCGAAAGAAATTCAACATGCATACATATACAGTATAGGCTGCTGCTGGGGCAAGCGCTGCGAGGTGAAGGTGTGGCGCGGCGATAGCTTTGCTCACGCCACTGCTGGTGGAAGGGCCTTACCAAGCCTTATGTCAAATTTAACTTGTAGGCTTTCGTGACCAATATAACGATTCACAATAGATGTTTTTTCTTCGGGTCATATCGTGTAAATAAAAGGTGTCGTAGACCCTCCTCCACCCGACACATCCAATTCATGAAGTTGTCACGTGAATAAACGTGACGATTTATTCCTGTGTTGGAGAGAGTCCCCAATGGTAATGCAAAAGTGGGTACTCCCACATATTCCAAGCTGTCTGAGCAGCATCGATGAGGAGGCCAACTGCCCTTTGGATGGGTTCTCTAGTGCTCCTTCTAGTGCAGCCTTGGCCAAATGACATCTCCTGAGCCGCATGCGGCTCCTTAATCCACTACATGCAGCTCTATGGAAGGAGCATAACATAAAACGTGCAATCACAGTAGTAAAGAATAATGAATGTCTCCCATGCTGTGCCAACAACTGTCGATATATACACACACTTATATATACACTTGGCTCTTTGCAGAAGTCACGGGTACTTTTTGGCTCTTGGTCTGTGCTAGTGGAAGCCCTTCTGCCAGGAGTGGTAGGAGCAAGGAATTCCAGGGCTGCAATTTTTACCTTCAGTGACACGATCAAACCTTTACAGGGTATTCTAGAGCTTCCTCTCGTGGAGGCCCGTCTGGCAGTCAGTGTTACAAGCAAGCAATTGTAGGGCTGCCCCTTCGCATATCTTTACAATAACCACAAAAACAACGACTGCCACTCGCCAAGCATGGTGAACAAAATTAAATCGTTGTAAGAGGGATTCAATTGAAATAAAGAATGCAGAGTATGCACATATCACGCAATTGGTGAAGGTGAACCAGGATCCAAAAAATTAACTCATGAAGAAAACGAGAGCAGGAAGGAGTGCTTTTCTAAAATAGAATGTAATAACGACAAGCAACACGGCGATGTGCCTACAGAAGAATGTCTTCAATCACTGAATATTGCATGCCGTGCTATATGGATCAGAAAAATGGATGATGTCAAACGGCACAGAACAAAAGGTTACATTTATGCAAAGAAACACAGAGAGATGCATGCTGAGAGACAGAAAGATACACAAATCCATCAGAGAACAAACACAAATGATGTATACGTGTGTACGTATTATTTACGTATTATTTTGCACTGCATGTAGCTAACCGTGCAAATCAGATGTATGCGGGAAGGACAACAGATGAAACACAAAAATGCGTTTTTAATCTGAAAGCGAACAACGCAGTGACCCTCTTTGTTTGATGGCTAGTCAAAAGCCACTGCGATATATCGTGTTAAATGTCAAGATGAATAAGTGGGCTTGGGAAAGACACATCATGAGAAGGAATACTAGCAGGCAATCAAGACTGGTGAAGGAACGGAAGTCGAAGGAGAAAAAACGTCCAAATGAAAGACTGCTCTTGAGATGGAACAATGGAATCAGATCATGCAGAGGAGCAAGACAGATTGTGCCATTACAAAAACTGTGAGGGAAGGTGATGACTGGGGGAGGCCTTCACCCAACAGTGGTAGATGAAGAGAAAAAAATCATATTTTAATACAATAATGGGCTAATATTGAAAACAACTAAACAATCAACCACTCTTCAGAAGACTGATTAAACTGATCAGAATATGAGATGTAAGCACATTACAAGACACAGTGTCGACTGTGTCTTGTGTCCTTGAAGCAAATTCAATCCTCTGCTGGATACCATGTATGTCTGTGATCCCATGCTACGCTATGCATTGGAGGCTTCGGCTGTCATTGCTTAAAGTAAGTACCGTGGCAATCAGGCTGGGTGCCGGACCAGACGCCCCCAGGGTTACAGACGCGCTCTCTTGATCCCCGCAGGACGTATCCCTCGGCGCAGTAGAAGCGGATGGTGCTGCGGACACGTACGTCATCCGCGGAGCGGAAACCGTGCACCGGGATCCCGGGATCACCACAAAATCCATAATAATCCCCTGCAAAACAGAATTGGCAGATGTCACAGTGCATCCGTGGTCAGAGGCATCACTAGCTTTGCGAAATTGGGGCAAGATTAAGCCCATATAGCGTATGTATTTCACACCTACTGGCCCACAATAAGTAAACGACTCATCCGTATCAACCTGGAATTGTGGCAGGAGGGAGGGAGAAATTGCTGAAGAGATTCAGCATTAAGCAGAATTCAATTCCTCCCCCTCCTAAGCCTCGACGAGATGCCACTGATTCATAAGCACGTACCATCTACTCTTTTTGAAATTTCATTTTTTTATCATTTGTATGGACTAAAATTGTCTAAAGTCGCATAATTTACTTTGGGTCTGAAGTTTGCACAAAAATTGTCATGTTCCTGTTAAAGGCTAAGGCGAGGACTGTGACAGTGGGAGTAAAATATTATTGACCGCACTTGAGAGGTAGCATGTTACGCCAAACCACTTTTGTACGTTGCAGCTTGGTGATGCCAGATGCGAGGCAGGGGTAGAGAGGGTGACTTAATAGCCTGTCCCTCTGGCCTGCCACACAATGTCACATAGTGACAAGTGCATAGTTAACCCATGAACACATTTTCTATTGATAGATTTTTTTTTAAGTCCACTGACTGGCAATGACAATACAGATTATGTTCCTAATTGACCCAACGCAAAAGGGCGTATACGAAAAACGAAATCTCATAAACCTGCAACCCACTGCTTGTCACCATATGATACAATACAATGTCTCACCTCTGAGCTATGCCCCATTGTGTTCAAATGATTTCAAACTGCGCCGTGACCACACAAGGCACATCAGTTAAAATTAAGCTGATGTGCAGTATAACATCGTCTCCATGTTGAAGGTTTAACATCTGAAAATAGTTTTTAAGTATAAATTTTTTCTTTACAAAATCATCTTCTACACACAGCTTTACTTCTTTGTCCAAAGCAGAGTTATGATCACCAAAATAATTATCAAAATCTATTATATTTATTTATCTCGGCTTACCATGTACAATTATATTGTAATCTGAATTAATGGTCAACTAGCTTGAGTTTTGATAATCCTTATCTTGTATCCACAATGGATCCCTTGAGATAAGTCACAGGAACCTTGAGGAATAAACATGTTACTAATCAATCTGTGTGCACATATGAGATCCCAATGTTTCGTGAGTTCACTGCATTCTATTTTCATGGCCAAATTTTGTGACACTTTAAATTACTGATATTACCAGATTGTCTCTTCCTAATTACAATGCCAGAGCAAATCGCCACTGTGCTCAGATGTATAGCGTTCACTGACAAAAACTGTAGGAAATTGCCAAGATGACGAATGAGGAGAAATATAATTTAAATGAATCACAACCATAATGATGATTTACTCAACTATTTACAAGGGCATTTATTAATGAAAATATTTAAGAAAAATGTTATAATTTAGCCCAATGATATTTTTCAAGGACAAAACGTCAATATATTTTAATCACCAAGGAAGGATATATATATATACAGTTGAAGAATTATACCAGAAAGATGCATGCACTCCAATTGTTGTCATGTGTGGCGATCTCCCCATCACTCAATATTTTAAACCATCAAAATATACTAAAAATAATACCATCTGCTATCATATTTCCATGTTATTTGGACGTATTGGCAGTACACTGGTGCAGCATACCACACCAGTCTTCATAAAGGGCAACTCCGCCCGTGCAGACGCAGTTGCCATCAATATAACTGCAGATTCTCCATCAGAAGTTGCCTTAGTTGTAATAAAGGACTCTTTCTCATATGTCGATCTCCGTTGTCCTTTATTGGGTTCGTAGAATCTCGTTACCACGGCGTCCTCGCTCAGGCCCGCGTCTCTCCCGACGATCACTCCACAGCCACTCGGCTGCTCCGATATGCAGTCTCCCTGCTGCTCCGATAGGCAGTCTCCCTGCTGCTCCGATAGGCAGTCTCCCTGCTGCTCTGTTAGGCAGTCTCCCTGCTGCTCCACCTTGCAGCCACACCGCTGCTCCGCTCTCCAGCTTCACTGCTGCCCCGTATACAGCTAGCCTCCCACAGCCCGCTAGCTCTCTGCGTCTGGCACCGATGGCTGATGGTGTCGACGTCTCTCACCGCGTGGCAACCGCGCCACTCTCCCCGTACTGCCCAGCGTGGCCTCCTCCCATTTCACTCCGTCTCCACTCCCCGTTCCCCTTCCGGTTCTCTCCCTAAATCCTCTCTCCCACGTGACCCTGACTCCTCCCTCTCCCCACGTGACCCAGACTCCGCCCCCCCTCAATCCTTGCTCGCATTACATAGTTGCAGCAGCTGCTTTCCCATTCGAAAGTGTGACATGAGTCATACTTTTTTTATGCCACCGTCCACCAATAAACGATTCTGGAAATGAATCGAGGAATCGTTCGACCAAGTTTTAGGGCACGAGTCAAATCTGCCTTTGGAACATGCAGCCAATCGTCATCGGGCTGGGTGCTCTTATTCGGCAACACACTGTGAAGCTTTGTGTTCAGCTGCTCATAACGTTCGTCTTCTGACTGCTTCGACATCACGATAATTCATTTTTATGCACCCTGCAAGATTTTCTGACCGGGGTTGCGAATCGCGGGAAAATATTGCGATTTTTTTTATATATATACCACACACCGGTGTACTGCCAATATGTTCATTTTAAGGAAACACAAGTCAATTCAATATTCACAATTAATTCATAATTTAAAGAATGCATTCTACTTTTACCCAAAATGTATTCCAATTGGTGCCAGCGGCATCATGTCATGAGATAGCGTCTATTTGAAACTTTTAAAGAGCAGAGTCTCAACCCCTTTGCAAGAATGGTCCATGGAAGGTGATATCTACTTTACTTCTGAAATTCTGTCAAGTGACCTCTTATCCACACTTGTCATGCTGCACTTTCCCATTATCCCTGCTATACAGATATTCATCGCATGGCAGTCAAACATTTTTTTTTGTATCCTCAAGTGCTACAATTTTTGCCAGTGTGTCATTGGTGATATGGGCTCAGAGTAATGCTTGAAAATGTGTGGCGGCTACCTGGGTTCGAACTCAGGATTATGAAAATGTTATCTAATCCCCTTCGACAGGTGAATCGGGGTCAGAGGACTGAGCTTACATATATATGGGTGCTGCGGTTGCAAGATATTAACTACCGCGCCTGTTATACAGGAGGTTGTTGGTTTGATCCCGACCCTGACGCCTGTGTATTTGGAGTTTGCAGGTTCTCCCTGTGGTCTCGGATATTTTTCTCCGGGTCCTCTGGTTTTTCCTTCCACATTTATAAACATGTAGTGGGGATGGGTGTAGCGAGGTGAAATTCCCCCCCGCCTCACATCTCTACCCCCCCCCCCCCATCTCTGCCCCACCCCCTATCTCTCCCCCTGTCTCTGTCCCATTCCTCCCCCTCCATTGTCTGATGGGTGTAGCGAGGTGCATTTCCCCTACCCTCCCATCTCTACACCCCCCCCCTATCTCTGCCCTACCCCCTCTCTCTCCCCCTGTCTGTCCCATTCCTCCCCCTACATTGTCTGATGGATGTAGCGAGGTGAAATTCCCCCCCTCCCAACTCTCTGGAACCCTTGTAAGCAGCTACATTTGGAGGCTTGCCCCCACTTTTCTTTTATTACTTTCAATGTATTATTATTATTGTTTTTTTTATTTGAAATTTATCTTATTTTTTATTTTCATTTTTTTTCTATTTACGTGACTTTACCAAAAGAACCAAGAATATAACTATAAACATGTGTATAAGGGTATTTGGCTGCTATACATTTTTCCACATGATAAGCCACTTACTTGAGCTATCATTTGTGTGCCAGGTCACTTTTGAAAAAGAGTGATGAAGCTCAGTGGGCCTAACCTGGTAAATAAAGATAGTAAATCATACAAAAGACAAAGATCCCCAACGAGAGCCTTTAACAGACCGTTGGGGCAAGTGCTGCTAGCGAGCACTGATGAAGGCTGGCACAGCACATGAGGGGGTGGATGGCCAGCACCACGCCCGGCCGTATTTGTCTCCCCACTGCGGATGTTTAGACACAGTACCAGGTACTCATTTTCATGTTAAGTCAATTTAGACTAGGGGAGGCACAGAACAGGTTTAAATCGAACTCGGGTCACCGTGTTCATATCACCGTGCATTAACCACTACATACCTGCTCCACAAATATATAAATATACGCATAGCATATGATGAATGCAAATTAATCCTCTGCGATATCATGACAAACACACGAATCACAATACTTTGCAATGTTGCAGCTTTTTAAGCAACTTATACTGTATACCGTGGTAAGAAAAAATGGGTTTGTGACATACATAATTTAATAGCAAAATTCTGCATTCACCACCGCATCATTTAGCTAGGACCTCAGCATTTGATAAAAAATTCAACAACCACTCTGATCACCGGGGATAATTGGACAAAATTGTTCTGCATTTGCAAAAGCCGTACTGCATCGCTCATCGTACTGCTCCTGTCTCGTTTCCTGATTTTTGTCCTCCTTGGCATTTATTCATGGACCTCACCCACACTTGGATGCGATTTGGATCGTGTTATATTGGCATTTGCTAATAATATGCATGCTTGTGCACTTTACTATGGAAATGAGATTGGCGGTGCAGTTGTTAAAACATACTCCACTATCGCCTGCATTTTATTACTGGGAATGGACAACACAAATGGTAGGTTGTGCTTGAACATGTCATGAACTCTCTCTAGGTCGATTTAGACAAAAATGAGTATCAAGTACAATGTGTGAACATCAGTTGCCATGCTTGCCTATGACAATAGGTTCAGGATATAAATGACAATGGCGAGGTCTGGTTGCCCAGAGAGTTCGTTCGTGTAGTTTTGCTATTTCTCCGTTGAAAGAGCACAGGCTATAATGCTTTACTATAGGGTCCATAGTTTGGGTTGCATGACCACAGTTGCACTGTGGACGTCCACATTTTTTCACACTATTCGCCAGCATTCTTCCCGG